GAAATGAAAGGAAAGAGAGGTGTACGTTGGAGGACGCATTCGTTCGTTCATCGTTCTTTCCGACTGCCTTTTTTTGAAATAAGTGTATAGAGCTATATTGCTTTAATGAATCCCTTTTTGCAAATTGTCTTACCGTATAAAGACACATTTCTTTGATGGCGGGTGTCCTGTGGTCCACGTAAGGCAAATGGTCTTTGATGTAATGCGAARCAAGGGTTATGAAGCGTTCTATGTCAGAATGATCTGTGTCCCGATCTTCCGGGTCATTCAGTCTGAAGGGCAAAGACTTTTGTGATTCACCCGTTGGTCCAAGCTGTACAGAAAAATGAAATAAAAAGTAAACTCTAGAGCGATTATTGTATGAGTGGGGAACGTACGATACTGACCTTACAGCATGTACACGATGCCGTAACATTGAAATAGCTTCCCACAAGAAGGGTTATCGTATGAGTGGAAAGCATACGGTAATGCACTTACAGCACGTACACGGTGCGACATGCTGTAACATTCAAATGGCTTCCCATAAGAATGGTTATCGTATGAGTGGGAAACGTCATCAATAGGATCACCTCTTTATCTCACAACTCACCTTTAACAAGCCAGGATATTCAAGACTCGGTAAAAAGTAGATGTGATTATCAGAATCTGAAGCATCATAAAAACAAGGAAAACCATCCTTCAAACTGTAGACGTCTGGCTTAGTAATCTTCCARTATAACACAGGAGCTTTGCATACCTACGTATACAGAGAAATCATTTACTATAAAGGAATTGAAGCAGATCATTTTTGTGTGCTTGTTGCGAAAAAAAAAGAAGGATCGTATAACGATACCGTGACCATGTCCCAGCACGGATAAATCACAGAATGAATTGGAATTTAGCTTCTTATGTTTTGTGGAGAGAGGGATACCTGAGAACCTGGAGAAAAACCTGATTCCAAAGGAGAGAGCGACCTGACAAACTTTACTCATATGTGATGCCGAGTCAAGAGCCTCTCCATGTAGAGGACACAATAGAGGACACAATGTATACGCAATTCAATAAAACTTATTGAATTCTTTGTTGGCTTCGTTCTGTTGTATAACTAAGAGTCTTTGGTTGCTATTGAATTACGTAGGATGTGTCCTCTACACGAAATAAGAATCCGAGTCCAGGAATCGCACGCACGACGACCCACGACCCCAAAGGTGAGGCGAGTGTACTGCCTCTATACTACCCTCGATACCTACCTGCAATGGTAGTTTTAGTCCTAGTGGTTCCAGCAATTTATTTGTCCAAGGACCTTTAAAAGAAAAGTTAACCCATATTGAGATCGATTGGTTTTATTAGAGCGAAGAGTGAAAAAAAAAGGTCTAGTTTCGAGTTTCAGATTACCGCTGTGTTTCTTGATAACAGACACATTTACACAGAGTTAGCCTCGTATCAGTGTTAGAAATAATCACATATACTAGCAGTAAAGTAAAGAATGCAAAACTTCAACAATACGAACACTTTGAAACTCGACGGAACTTCATTTGATGGAACACGTGAATATCCTGCACAAAATTGAGGATAACCCTCTGTAAATGAGTCTGTAATCAAGAAACACAGCGGTAATTTGGAACTCGAAAATAGTCCATTGTCACTACCTGCGGTAATGATGACTTTCTTGGCTCTGAATGTAGATTCACTAGTCTTGATCGTAACACCATCCTTAGCAGGAATAATATCCAATACCTGTTGACCATCTCGTAATGTTCCTCCATACTTAATAAACTGCATCTACAAACACAGCATACAGGCTTTTAATATGCAGGCAGGAACGATTGAATCTGGTCTAATCTGATTTACATGATAAAGTACTCAGTTTTTCCCAGGGAGAAAAGACTCTATTATTGTGCCTCCTCTCATGGCTGCCATCACTTTAGGTGCAAAGCCTCTATTACTTTCAAAGGTGCAACAGATAGTAGWTCTCCAGATACTGATATCTTGGCTACATGGAACATGGAACATGGCTACCACTATTGCTGGGTTTCAAATGACATCATTTTCTGTATCGTGCAGAATGTTCATCAGCTACATCATAAGYTTTCACTATGATTCTTTCTGGTTGACAGCACATGGTGGTCAGTGTTGACCACCATTTGGAGCAGATAATGAGATTCAAATAATTTTATCACCTGTGATGGAAACTCAGCAATATGCAGGCTTGTGGCAATGAAGATCAAGACCTTAGACCTCCTTATAAAGAAATATTTTTTATTTACCCCGACCCACTCACACCTCTCCCCCTCCCCTCCCCTCTCCGTCCTCCCTCCTCCCTCCTTGCACACATTTAGAGATTTAAAGTCATGACTAATTTTGGGTGGCAACAGCAAATTGGCAAATGGTATTTATCAACAAAATAAATGACTAATAAAAGGAAAGTTATTCATTTACTTGCAAATGTTTCAAACACTTGTCAGCCATTAATATCCCAGCTGTTTTCTCCACAACTCCAGAATATCCAGCAAAATCAAGATCTGGGAACTTTTCTCTGAGTTGCCGAGGTGGAAGGACTTCATATTCAATGTTGTGACTTTGCAATAGCTTGGCCTCCTCTTTGACATGGGTGGATGGCAGTTCCTCTACCATTAGCTTGCCCACATTTCTTCAAAAAGGAAAGAAGGAAAGTAAATGAAAGGGATAAGAAGGGAAGTGAAAGGAATGAAAAGGGATGAATAAACTCACTGGTGAAACAACATCTCCCCAGCTTCTTTCTCTATTTCTGTCCACATTTTTTTTGAGTCTTCAGCCATCTTCATGTAATACGGTTCCAGGTAGGTGGAGCGAATTATTCTAGTTTGTCCATGAGAGCTACCTCTCCAGTGAGGCAAAGGAAACTTCAACAGAAAAAAGGCATTTGCTTTTTTTTGTACAGATTTTGTACAGGAAGGCAGGCAGCAACCTGACTGATCTGTCTGGTCTAACTAATGAGACTGGTCTTACTAACAAGATCAGCCTGCCTGGCTTACCCAACTAAGTATACCTGAATAACCAGCATAACCTGTCTGACTAACCTTACTGACCTGACTGACCTGACTGACCTGACTGACCTGACTGACCTGACTGAATGGATAACTTAATGCACAATAGAATGGATCAAGGGCAGATCCAGGGGGCAAAGGGGGGTTGAAGCCCCCCCCCCCC